AAGAGATGTTTCTAGAGGTCATCAAAGGTCAACCAGCCCCCCCACCCTCTTCAAATCAGACGGAATGGGTGCCAATTAACTCAGCTCCGTTTGTGCAACAAAAATTTCCGTTTGTGCTGCTTTGGCTTTGAAGACCTTAATGAAAATGCAAAGGTCAAAATATCAACCAGCCCCGCCACCTTCTTCAAATTAGACAAAATTGGTGTCAAACGCTTGTGCAGCAAAAAATTTCACTCAGGTGGGTCCATCTGATAGTCAAATCTCGGATTCAGGAGGAGCCGTGTGGTTTTCCTCCTGGCTGTGGAACACTGGATCAGCTCTACACCCTCAGCAGGATTCTAGAGGATGCATGGGAGTTTGCCCAACCAGTCTACATGTGTTTTGTGGATCTGGAGAAGGCATTCGACCAAGTCCCTCAGGGGGTCCTGTGGGGGGTACTCCGGGAGTATGGAGTACCAGGCCCTCTAATAGGGGCTGTTAGGTGTAGCTCTATGACCGTATAGCTGTATGAGCAGTGTCAGAGCCTGGTCCCCATTGCCGGCAGTAAGTCGGACTCGTCTCTGGTGAGGGTTGGACTCCGCCATGGTTGCCCTTTGTCACGATTCTGTTCATAACTTTTATGGACAGAATTTCTAGGCGCAGCCAAGGTGTTGAGGGGATCTGTCTTGGTGGCCCTACAATGAACAATAATAAAATAAGGTATTTATTACAAAGGCGAATTAATAAAGAAGCTAATTAAAAGAAATAAATACATTTATATCTCACTGTATAATTAAATTTCTGCTACATTTATTTGTTGATTGTATTTTTGGGGGCAATTAATTGTATGTATTTATTTGAGCATTTATTTATTTTTGTATTTATTTTTAAATATGGTAGAGCTGGTCCTCCATAAATTGTAACTTGTTAAATCCTCCCAAATAATCTCTTAACTGGTAACAGTGTTTGTGAATTCTAATAACCAAAAGTGGAAAACAATATTACATTTACCTGAGACACTTTTACAGGCTTAACAAAACATTTTAGGTTCTGTCTCATGTCTAGCTTCACAATATAAACACTAGAATTCAAGAAAATGTATTAAGGTTAGGAGGGATATTTATATGTAAAATGGTTTAACATATTCAGCTTTAAACACTAACATTATATCTTATTTTTCCTTCACCAAAGGAGCCATAAGGCCATTCTAAAACTTATATAGTAATAGACAATGATGTTACAAATGATCTACAACAGAGACTTTCACTGACCCATTTGATAAGGTTTTATAAGGACAATAAAAGTAGAAATATTCTGAAGTGCATTGCTCATGAAAATGAGAACAATAGGCTCCTTTCTGAATGGTGCGTATATATGGTCATGGCACCAAGGCTTGGCTAAACTAGTTGATGATAAGGGTTTTGCACTCTGCTGATTTTCAGGGTCTCCAATAAAAGCTGTGTCATATACGGAGAAGAAGAAGGTAGATAAGGATTATAATGTAAGCTCTGCAAGAGAAAAAACAAAAAAGAATTCAAAAGTTCCTTTTGACCGGTTCACACTGATAAGTACAAACCACAGATTTTTGTGCATGACACAACCTAGCTGCAGCCAGTGAGGTAACCTAAATTGTGCTGGGTGTCTGGAAAGTCATATGCAATACCTTGTTATCAAAATTACTTCTTTCTGATTGCTGATTGAGTAATGAAATTATAGTATATGTTGCTTTCTCCACAGCAAAGCTTAGACTCACTCTTTTAGAAATTTTATGTAATGTTTGGGGATTTTCACTTGAAGATTGTCCCTAAGATTTTCTAAATGTGATGCATCATTTCCAGATTCTTGGTCTTACTGACACCTTAAAACAACCATCTCTTGATGTAAAAAGGCCTTAGTATGGTTTGGTAGTTCAAATTGATTTAAATTCACATAAAGTTCAACTAAGGTTCAATCACTGAGGTGTTTTCAGCTGTTTTAAGGTGCTTTGAAAAATTTGTCAAATTGATATTGTTGCAACTCTCAACATGCTAATTTATATCAAGCAAAACTTGTACTTCAACTAAGTGAATCATCTTAAATTTTATTTCCTGTCACATTTGTATAATTCTTTTTTTCCTATTCTATTTTTGTAAGAAATAAATTGTCAGTTTCCTTCTGTCAAAATATAGATATGAATGCAGGCAAATATTATTCTTTTCTAATTTAAATGTCCCTTTTACTTTGCACAAATAAAGCTTTCCAGTACCAGACTGAGTCCTGTCATCTAAAGAAAAACTCAGATGATTCTGCAGTGGTTGGGTGCATCAGAGATGCTGACTACAGGGAGCTGCTAAAATGCTTTGTGGTGTAGAAACAATCATCTGAGCTTGAATGTAAACAAAACAAGTGAGATGGTTGTAGATTTTAAAAGAAACAGGAACAAACTGATTCTTACTAATATCAGGGAGAAGAAGTGGAGGTGGTTGAGTAATATAAATGCCATGGTGTTCACCTGGACAACAAATTTCACTGGAGACACGACTGTGAGGCCATAGAACATGCAGAACAGATTGTACTTCCTAAGGAAGCTTTGGTCCATTAGTGTTTTTTCTGGTAAGATGCTACAGATCTTCTTTAAGTCTGTTGTGGAGAATGTGATCTATCTTTTGCCATCATGCTAGGGTAAGAGCATCATAACATAGGACTCAAAAGCCAATAAAGAAGAGTCATGTAGCAACTCTAACACTACAGATGCTTCCGACTCGTCCAAGTACCCCTAACTGCAGACTGCAGATAGGGGCGGGGCTCAATGTTGAGTGCCTCAACGATGAGCCACGCCAGGATCTGCGGTCTGCAGTCTGGGGTTATTCAACTCGGTGTAGGTACCATATCTGCTTGGGTGTTCAGGTCTCCTTGGGTCCTGCTCATGCCGGTGACGTTAGGCTCTATGATTGGCTAAACGTTGCTATATGACGTAAAACATTGTGGTTGCCCAGATAACGATAATAACAATGCCAAGTCGGGAGCATCTGTAGTGTTGCATGTCTAATGACCGATTAAGTTTTACGTGATGGATAACAAAACTGAAAAAAATATATTTATGGTTAACAAAGTAACTTCAAGGTCATATGAAGGGGGAGAGTTGGGTAGCGCTGCAGCTATCTGTGTTTAGTAGCTAAGAGGTTAGCCAATTTCATCTCAGTCAGTTAGTCATATTAAGTTACATAACTTTTAACTGCATCAACGACAAGCGTTCCTTTTCTGCAAGTAGAATTTTCTTCAAGTAGGGTTTTTCTAGTCACCTCCTGCTATTAATTCTAGAATCTCTACGAAAGTCATTTTTTAGGATTTTCCATTTGTCCTCCTGTGCCCTCAGATGTTAATAAAAGAAATACAAATAAACTGAGTCTTTTTGTATCACCTTGATAGTTGACAGAGCTCAGTCTGTCGCTTAGTCTGTCTTAAAAGGCAGTGCTTTCCTACAAGACTGACAATTATTGTATCTACTATTGGCTACTTTAGATCGCTGATGAAACGTGAAATTATAGAAATATGGGTAATGATATGTCCAGTTCTGATTCTTAAGAAACGGGTGCAATAAAGTTTGTCTGAGTGGTGTGGACGTATGATGGCTTCATATGAAAGGGCAGGGCCCCTAGCAGATCTGACCACCTGAGTGGATCTGGTACCTACATTAGCACACAGAGGCTGCATTATGCTATTAGTATTGTCTGGGCAACCACATTGTTTTAGGTCATGTGGCAACATTCAGCCAATCATATATTGCAATGTCAATTGCCATGGGTAGGGCCTGAGCAGATCTGACTCCAGAAGCTGATCTGGTCATTAGATAGCCCTCTTCACTTTCGTATTTTAAATCTCTTCTTAGGACCCATGTCTGTTCCTTGGCTTTTACACAATCTGAGATGCTGAATTTGTCTTACTGTCTTTCTTTTATTGTTCTATTACTGCACGATTTTAGACTGTATTTTACCATCACTGTCACGAGCTTCTCCAACTTTGTTTTTGGGGTTCATTTCCTGCCTTATGTAACATAGGACAAATTATTTGCTGAAGAGGTCATAAAGGCTGTGTGACTTTGTTTTGTGTGCATTCCAATTTAAAAAGTTAATCACCCATAAAGTACAGGCTTGTTTTGGTTTCACTTTAGTGTCTTTTTATAAACAAAGTTCTGTTTATCTTTGCCTGTTTTCAGTTTAGATTATATTTTTCCCATAGTATAACATCATCTAAAACAAGTGAAAAAAATCAAAGAAAGTGTATCAGTAACAGTAGCTGTTTCAAAAAGTTTACTTTTTCTAAAAGTACTTTTATTTTATCTGCTCCTGTGTCTTTATTGCATTGCTATAAAATTGTTCTCTCAACATTTATTGCCACTATCTTTACTTGTCTATAAGTTCACTTCTACAAAAAATATTTTTAGTTTACATGTAAAAGAGTAAAACAAGTTCGGTGTAATGAAAATGACTAAAATAAATATATTTATGTTTCATTACAAGACACACACACACACACACATATATATATATATATATATATATATATATATATATATACACATATATATATATATATATATATATATATATTTGGGTTTGATTATTTTTTTGTACATATTTTCATTTGGACCAGCAAATTTATCTATCCTGATCATGCTCTCTAACATTTAAAATAAGGTCAACATCGATAAACTGCTGTCATTTTTTTGGTTATGGTGGTCAGATACAGACAGACTTCAAGTGTTTGAAGTGTTGGTCAGTGGTTAATCAGAGATGTCCTTTAAACTGCAGTAAGTTGTGCTATTAAATCTAAATGCATGCTTTAAAACAAATCATTAATTAACTGAATTATGGAACTGTGCACATAGTTTGGTTGCATTAGAATTTTGTTTTAGAAACATATAAAAATTAAATTATAAATTCTATCATAAATCTACTTTTTCTAAAAGCATTTTGGGGTTTTGTACAAAACTACACAAACCGGTTTGAAAAACTTCAGAGACCATGTAACATGGAAAAAAAAGGTAAATTTCTTTATTAAATCCTCAACTTTGTTACCTTAAAAAAATCACTCTTTGAAATAATCTTACTATCTTATCTTTTGACCTAAAGTATAACATCAACTTTTATCTTATCAAGACCTTAATCATGGTTTGATGTGGTTTATTAGCATAGTTAGAAACAGGGCCAATTGTACTGGGGCAAGCTATAAGCACAAATATACTGCAGTGAACCACAACTTTAGCCATTATGTTAGATTTATGCATATACTCTTACTAACCTGTAACTGAGGTAAGATATACAATTAAAAGGTGAAAGGCAGCAAATACAGATCAGATCTATTGGCGATACAATTAGAGTAAGTTAACATATCTTCTATAAAATGTTTGAATAATTCAGTTATAGAAATTATGAATTAATTATTCACAGGTATACATATTTTATGCTTTTAAGTGCAATTAAGTATTGAAAAAAAGTAAATAGTAATATCACAGAAGAATTAAAAACCTTTAAGGTAAAACTAACGCAGTCTAACATATTAGACAGTCAAGACTTCCCTGTACATTATCCAAACAGCTATGAACAGTTAAGAGGTCATCCAACTGGAATGTTTAATCTTGCTGAAGCGATGTTTGGATCAATTTGTTCCAGAGAAATGGTGTCAGAGGCTGTAAAGTACAAAACACGCTGTTACTCACATAGTGTGGAGAATCTGTCTACTCTGTGTTTCACTGCATAAGTGAAAAAAAGAATAATTAGATTAATGTTAGACATGAATATAATAGAATTTGCAAGTCATCTGATAACTTATCATCCTCAATAAAATAACTTGTAGTATGTTTAAACTCCTTAAAAAGACTCATTAAAACTTAGAATGTAAACTAAATTCCTAGAGTATATTTTTTTAATATGATATAGCAAACAATTCAATTTATGTATCTCACCATTTGGTCGTTTTAAAAGTGATGAGTGCCTAGGCAAAAATGCTGCTGATGATAACACCTCCCATTGCAGCAATGACAGACATGCTTTTCGTAGTTAATCGACCTATTTGGGAAACATAAGCAAATCATAACGCAATATATAAACATAGTTAATGACAAACTACACCACTGAAAGACTAATCTGAATTCCAACTAAGGTGATGACATAACTGCATACAAATTAAATAAACTGATAATGATATTAACACTTGCTCATTTCTGAAGTATCTATTTTAAGAAGAGGAAGAATGAAAAAAAGTCCTAATGCCACTTTCACAGTTTGTCTTAAGAAAAGGAAGATAGAAAGTGAAATATCTAAATGTCTTTCTTACCATCATCTGCTATGCTATTCTTTGAATTGTTGCTTCTGATTTTATCTTTGTCCAGTTTGGTGATGAGTTTAGTTTGTACACCAGAGAGCTCAAAGACACATTCATATCTTCCCCATTCTTTGGGTGGGATTGAGGGAACCTCCAGATCAACACTCATCTGAAAGGATCCATCATCATTGGGAAGGATATCTCCATGTTTTACCCCTTCGTGAATCTCCTCTCCATCTCCCCTCCAGAACATCATGCCATTGTTAGGGAAGAAACCAGTTGAATAACAAGAGACTGCAGAGGAGGGAGTCTTCTGCAGTAGAAACACATTCTGAAGGACTGGAAAAGAAATCCAGTTATTAAATTGGGTGATTTTACATTATTATTAAGGTAAAAAACGTATATGAAATGAGAAATACCAAACGAAAGCCACAACAAGGTAATACAATATTAATATTAAAATAAAATACAAATAAACTCAAAAAGGCAAGAAACAGAATAACATTCTATAAAAGACAACTGCTTTCTTAACAGACAAACAACTTTACCTTTTTTGCTTAGGTGTGTTTTTCCAAAGCTCAAAAACATTTTTAACCTTTCCAGGCAAACACCCTCCAGGTAGCTTTGCCAATAAGAGGCATCGCCTGGATTATCATTCCACTCCTTGGTAACAGCTTCAGCCTTTGGATTCATTGCAATCCATTTCTTTGTCTTCAAGTCAAGTTCAATGAAGTCTTCTCCATTGTTACCATATTTTATGTGACCATTAACTTTATCAGCTTTATTGTCCCAGTCACAGCCTATAATCTGCTGAATGATCACATCACCTAAGGAAAATAGAGATTATTCAGTATTGTATGTTTTCACATATGTATTTATTCACATATTTATCAGACAGAATTTTATTTTTTTGTAAGATGTAGAATTCTTTATGCAAAAACTAGACTGACATAAATCTAAATGGTGATTAAAAAAGCAAATCAAAAACACATTTTATTTGCACAATACCTGGTGATGTAAGTAACGGATCATTGAAATTGATTGTATCCATTGTTAAGACCTGTTTGTAATCAATGCACTCTTTTATTATGGAATTCCAAAAATGTGTTTTTTCTTTCATTAACGTATAAATCCAGTCCTGGTAGACTCTTGCTCCATTAATATCAATGTAAAATAATAAAAAACCCTCAAGTGTGAAGGTCACTGCAAAATCTGTGGAATTTTGGACTCCAGGATAGAGAAAAATATGAATCTCTATGTGGTATTTTTCTGTTGGAAGAGCAAATACTTTCATTAACGATTTTGGATTACAATCTGTATGGTTTTATAAAAATCACAAACAGTCCAACTTAATTAGCAAAAACAGAAGTTTCAGCCACAAAGCAACAAACATTTTTATAAATAACCTCTTCAAAAGGGTTGTTTGCCTTTTCGATATTTATAGAAAGTCTAAAATTGTTAAATTTGGTGAATTATTATTATTATTATTAGTAGTAGTAGTAGTATTATTATGCTCTTACCTGGTGACACAGCTTTGCACAAAAGCAGGAACAACACTATCTTCTCCATAACTTTTGTGTGAGTGAACTGAAGTGGGATTTTTCTTGCTGATCTTTATATTCACTGCACTTGGGAAACAAACACAGACCTGTCAGACAAGTTTTAGAGTGATGACCACAAACAAAAGACAACCTGACCTGCTTTTAGTTTATGTATTGCAAAAGGCAAAATATTGTTTATCTAAGATTGAGTATTTCTCAAACTAAAATGTTAAAATAGTTTTTTTTTTTTTCAAAAAATATACTCCTTAATTTAGGTTCTTTTTATGCTGCTTTGAAAAATTTATTTGAATACCTTGTAGATTTAAAAAGTGTTCTGTTTTTGTTTTGCTTTTTTTATTCACAATGTAATCTTAATTCCATCCAGGCATTACCTGTGTAGATCATATATTATACGGATGCCCCACCAGTAGGACATGTGACACGAGTGTCTTTTATCTATAACATTCATACTGCTTTAAGGTTTATGCAATATCATAATACATTATGTGATAGCTTAGGTCCCAGTTTATCTATCTGGTTCTTCTAAAAATAAGTAGAGTATCACCTGGTGTGTTAGGAATCCAGTTTGTGTGGGTTGTGTTTTGTTTGTCTTCCCTCCTCCACCAGGCGGCACCTGGTTCTCGTTGGCCTCCTCACACACCTGCGGATGGTTACCTCATTGACGGAGGACTCTTAAGCTGCTGACTGCCACTACCTCAACGCCAGAGTGTTTGCCAGTTTTGGGTACTCTAGCCAAGCTGAGTTTTGCTGAGTCAAACTGAGTTTTTGTCTAGCTGAGTTTTTAACCTTGCTGTTTTTTGTCTTTGGCTCTCAGCAGGAAGTCATCCTGCAAACTGGGTGTTTTTGGACCTTCTCCCCTCTGGAAGGATTCTCTGAGCACCAAACTGAGCTGAGGATTCAAGTTTGTGGTTTGGATCAAATTTTTCACTCAAGGTTTGTTTTGGGCTTCTCACTGAGCACGGGATTCATCTCCATTATAACCCGTTCAAGTACCGCAGGAAAACTAAGTGGCAGTCAGCTTCTCCATTAACCAAGAGCAACCGCAATCTGGATAAATCCTGTCCGCCCTCCAACGAACAAGACATTCACTGGAACAACCCACACCGACTGGATTCAATAAGAGACACCTTTTTCTGGAAATGTGAGTCTGCAACATAATTCCTCTTCTTCAAGTCAAAGACACTAATTTCCCACTGAGCCTGAACTAACCGCAGTATCTTCCCCTTCACTTCCCAGTTCCGGTTCGACAGTGTTCAGAGCAGCACAGGACTCATCTCATTCACTTTACATAAAAACCTGTTAAACTTTTCCCTGGTCTCTCTGTTTGGTCTTCTGCATGTGGGTCAGGGCTCTAGATAAAATCATGACAGAGTGTCTGTAGCATATATTTATCGTGTATTATAAATTCCCCAGTGAAATAATGATGCTTGACTTGAATGATGTTAAATTCTTTTAATCATCAAATCATCTTTTCTAAAAATGTTTTCTATAACTGCCTATTTACAAATAAGCATTTAATTCTAATGTGTTACCTATTAACCTAATAACCTTGATTGTTCAGGAGAATATCCTGAACAATCAAGAGAATATGAGAATATATAATAGAGTTGAATTAAAAACAATCTTTTACTTCTAAGCACATTTTATTGATCATCACGCTGTTTTTACATTCTTTTCTCAGTCCAAGCAACCAAAGGGGCTTCTATGCATCCATGTAATGGGTTTATCCAGTCATGCATGCATGAAGGAAGGGATCTGTTTTCTTTCAATATGGAAGGATCAAAGGACATGTCACCTTCAGCTTTGCTTTATGAGAAAAAAAATATATCAGCAACAATGATAAGGACTAATGGCTTTGTCTCTAACAGGATGAAAACATTCCAAACATAAAATATGTTAATTTATTGATGCATAAGAAACTCTGGAGGAAATCCTATCATGACTGCATCAACTTCTGCTTTTGACACTTAACAACCCTCATCTTCCCAGGGGAATGCCCTCTTTTATTGATACTCTGAATACACTGTATCTTTTAAACCTCTATATCAAATTTTCAACAATCAGCTCAGGCTTTGGTTGCCCCAAAGAAAAATCCACATAATTTGGTTAAACCTAAGGAAGTAATATATGCTTCTTCTGTATTTTTTGCAAATGCCTTCACCATCACTGTTGCAACAACAGTGGTCTCTAGGCCCTATATGCAGATCATAAGGATATGTTTTAAAGTATGAAATGGGTCGTCGTCGTCGTCTCCCGCTTTATCCGGAACCGGGTCGTGGGGGCAGCAGACTACGCAGAGACTCCCGACTTCCCTCTCCGCAGACATCTCCTCCAGCCCTTTAGAGGGAAGCCCTACGCGCTCCCAGGCCAGCCGAGAGACATAGTCTCTCCAGTGTGTCCTGGGTCGTCCCCTGGGCCTGCTCCCGGTAGGACGTGCCTGGAACACCTCCCGAGGGAGACGTCCAGGGGGCATCCGAAGAAGATGTCCGAGCCACCTCAACTGACTCCTCTCGATGTGGAGGATAACCGGCTCTACACTGAGCCTCTCCCGAATGACCGAGCTCCTCACCCTATCTCAAAGGGAGAGCGCAGCCACCCTGCGGAGAAAGCTCATTTTAGCCGCTTGTATCCGGGATCTCGTTCTTTCGGTCGTGATCCAGATTTCATGACCATAGGTGAGGGTAGGAACGTAGACCGAACGGTAAATTGAGAGCTTTGCCTTTTCGCTCAGCTCTCTCTTCACCACGACAGACCAGTGCAGCGTCCACATTATTGCAGCAGCCGCACCGATCCGTCTATTGATCTCCCGCTCCATTCTTTCCTCACTCGTGAACAGGACCCCAAGATACTTGAACTCCTCCAATTGAGACAGGGACTCTCCTCCAACCTGAAGGGGACAAGCCACCTTTTTCCAGTCGAGAACCATGGCCTCGGACTTGGAGGAGCTGATTCTCATGCCGGCCGCTTTACACTCGGCTGCGAACCGCCCCAGCGCACGCTGTAGGTCTTGGCAGGAGGGAGCCAGTAGAACTACGTCATCCGCAAAAAGCAGGGACGAGATCCGCTTGTCCCCGAACCAGACCCCCTCGGGTCCTTGGCTGCGCCTAGAAAACCTGTCCATAAAAGTTATGAACAGGACCGGTGACAGAGGGCAGCACTGTCGGAGTCCAACATGCACCGGCAACAGGTCCGACTTAATGCCGGCAATGCGAACCAGACTCCTGCTCCGCTTGTACAGAGAACGGATGGCCCCTAATAAAGGGCCCCCGACTCCATACTCCTGGAGCACCCCCCACAGGGCAGCACGAGGGACATGGTCGAATGCCTTCTCCAAGTCCACAAAACACATGTGGACTGGTTGGGCAAACTCCCAAGAACCCTCAAGCACCCTGCTGAGGGTGTAGAGATGGTCCACTGTTCCACGGCCAGGACGAAAACCACACTGCTCGTCCTGCAGCCGAGGTTCGACAATCAGTCGGACTCTCCTCTCCAGCACCCTGGCATAGGCCTTTCCAGGTGTGATTCCCCGATAGATGGAACACACCCTCCAGTCCCCCTTCTTATGGAGGGGAACCACCACCCCAGTCTGACAAGCCAGGGGGACTGTCCCCAACCTCCACGTGATGTTGAAGAGACGTGTCAACCATGACAGCCCGACAACATCCAGAGTTTTAAGATACTCATGACGGATCTCGTCCACCCCCGAAGCCTTGCCACTGTGGAGTTTTTTGACCACCTCGGTGACTTCAGCCTGGGTGATGAATGAATCCAGCCCCAAGCACCCCGTCTCTTCTTCCCCCACGGAAGGCATGTCGGTCAGGTTGAGGAGATCCTCAAAGTATTCCTTCCACCGCCCGACAATATCCTCCTTCAAGGTTAGCAGCTCCCCACTCCAACTGAAAACAGTTTTAGCGAAGCACTGCTTTCCCCTTCGGAGGCGCCGGACGGTTTTCCAGAATCGCTTTGAGGCCAACCGATAGTCTTTTTCCATGGCCTCTCCGAACTCCTCCCAGGCCCGAGATTTTGCCTCTGCAACCGCCCGGGCCGTGACACACTTGGCCTCACGGTACCTGCTTGCTGCTTCAGGAGTCCCACAAGCTAGCCAAGCTCGATAGGACTCCTGCTTCAGCTTGACAGCATCCCTTACTATCGGTGTCCACCACCGGGTTTGGGGATTGCCACCACGACAGGCACCGCAAACCTTACGGCCACAGCTACGGGCAGCCGCATCGACAATAGAGGCAGAGAACACAGCCCATTCGGACTCCATGTCTCCAACCTCCCTCTGAACCTGAGAGAAGCTCTCTCAGAGGTGGGAGTTGAACACATCTCTGACCGAGGGTTCCACCAGACGTTCCCAGCAGACCCTCACTACACGTTAGGGCCTGCAGAGTCTTTCAGCCTTCCTCCTCTTCCAGCGTATCCAGCTCACCACCAGGTGGTGGTCGGTGGACAGCTCCGCCCCTCTCTTCACCCGAGTGTCCAAGACATGCGGCTAAAGATCAGAAGATATGACTACAAAGTCAAGCATTGACCTTCGGCCTAGGGTGTCCTGGTGCCAGGTGCACCGGTGGACATGGCACCAGGACATGCCTGAACATGGTGTTCATTATGGACAACCCATGACTTGCACAGGAGTCAAATAATGAGACACCACTCAGGTTCAGAGCTGGGGGCCCGTTCCTCTCGATCACGCCCCTCCAGGTGTCACTGTTGTTTCCCACGTGGGCGTTGAAGTCTCCCAGTAGAATGATGGAATCCCCGGGAGGGGCGCTTTCTAACACCCTCCCCAAGGATGCTAAGAAGGCCTGGTACTCTGTACTGCCATTCGGCCCATAGGCCGAAACAACTGTCAGAGCCCTCCCTTCGACCCGAAGGCGAAGGGATGCGACCCTCTCATCTACCGGGGTGACGGCTGAGCTGGGGGGAGACAAGCAGCAGCCCCACCCTCGCCCTTCGCCTCTCCCTGCGGGTCACTCCAGAGTAGAAGAGAGTCCAGCCTCTGTCAAGGAGCTGGGTTC